ATGCAAACTGTGCAAAAAACTGCAATTAGACCAAAAAATACAGTATTTATACTAATATCCAAAGTCAACTGAAACTATTTATGATATGTTAGAAGACATAACATAATGTGCCATAGCTTTTTGGGGCAATTTCCTGCCATTTTGTTAATATTCAATAGACAAGCTGATCTATGTGTGGCACAGTGTTACACCCTTGTGTCAGAGCAAGGATGCTTTATTCACTGCACAATATCTATATAACCCATAGGACATTACCAAGAATACTATGATACTTTAGGCTTTTCTATAATAGGTTGCTAATTAAATTTGTTTACAGTCTGTGGATCCAAACTGAAGTCACTGATTGAATGTGATCATTGGTGACATGTGCACCGTTTAAAGCTTCAAAACTATGAGCAGCAGGCTGTGCAATATTACAAAGTAGTAATTTATTAAAAATATTTAAAATTTTTGTTTCTAATTGATTAATACATTTTCTAAACATTGAATTTATGAACTGAAAAACATGTTGATTTTATAAATAAGTCATAGGCCGCCCTAATTACTAGAATCTGGCATTGGTAACAAACATTATCTTAATTAGTTGACCTTTAATTAGTCTGCAACGTTAACTTTTTATGTAAAATGTAGAGCTAATAATGATATGCATATAAAGGGATTTGTTATTAGATACTAGAGGTCAAGAGGTTTTTATTCTTTCTTATTTGTACAAAATATCTTTAATTACACATGTGCACACTAAATACACAAACTTTCATAAAGCTTTGTTGGAAAAGTTACTTTTTACAAATCTGATAAAATTACCTACAGCTAGTAATAGAACAGACTCAAATATATGAATTTTTGTGTTTGGATATTTTGGGAGAAGAGAGGAAAGAGCCCAAAACTAAGATGAAACCAAAACAAACGTCTTATCTCAAAACTCAGCCTCGTGTTTCAGTCAGATGAATCATGTTTAATTGACTAAAACACTGGTGTCAGACAAATTCCAATTTTATTTAAATTAAGGGGGTGATCAGTAATTTTTGTGAATTGTGTGTTGGATATCTAAAACACAGAACAGTTTCTTAATCAAGCAAGAAATATAGATTTCTACTGTCCTGATGCCTGCTCAATAATCCAGGTAGAAACATCTAACAAGGCTAAGTCAGGTCTTCTGGACGGATTCTTCTTGTTGAAACGTTTCGTCTTTTATCCAAAAGACTTCTTCAGTCTGAGGAGCCACAATAAACTCAGGCTGTTTTCACACCTGATAGTCCGGTAGACTCGGTTCGATTGGGGACCGATATTCAAAACATTTGTTTACATTTCAGCTGGTGCAGTTCGCATTCACACTGCACTGTCAGTCGAGCCAACCTGTTCCTCCCCTCGCCTGTGGTGGCGCTGCACCAAGAACTACTGAAGGTAAGAGAATTGTGTGTGTGTTTGCCCTGCACTGTAGATCACTTCATGCGTTTGGAGCGGTCTCCGGTCCGCTTGCATTCACAATGCATTCGAACCGCGCTAGAGTTCACTTCAACCGAACCGAGACCCAGGTTTTTAGGCGGACCAGAGTTCGCTTTTTTGGTCCGTATCAGCGTTCGATTGCACGTTTGCACATCACCAAATGAACCAGATTTTCTAGGCAAATGGACTAGAGTTTGATTAAAGCGGACTAAGGGCTGGTGTGAATGCACCCTCAGTTTTACAAATAGCACCTTCTCATAGTGGATCAACCAGTTTGCTGATGACAGCCAGAACTAACTGTTCAAATGATAAAGGAGGTTCATCAGCTTAATGATCAATCGTTAGTGCCCTGATGGCCACTTGCTATTTACAGAGGGCTGAGTGATACTAGATAATTATGAGGGGGCACAGTTGAACACGGAGGTCTCGGCCTCTGTTTAATGATGGACGGGTTCTTTTGGAACGAAGAAATCGAAAAATAGAAAATAACCCATTCATCATTAAACTGGGACAGAGGCCTCAGTGTTCAACTGTCCCCCTCTTACAATGCTGTTATGGCTAGTATCACTCTGTAAATAGCAAGTGGCCATCAGGGCACTAACGATCAGTTGTTGGGCTGAAGGTCCTCCCTTTGCATGTGAACAGCTAGTTCTGGCCGTCAGTAGCAAACTGGTTGATCCACTATGAGAAGGTGCTATTTATAAGAATGAGTTTATTGTGGCTCCTCAGACTAAGTTTGTTAGATAAAATATGAAACGTTTCAACAAGAATTCGTCCAGAGGACCCGACTTAACCTTGTTAGATAGATTTCTTCTGTGATTTTTATTTTTTTAAACGGCTACATAATGAAACAGCAATGTGGTATGATTTTTCTTTTATTTTAGATTAAGAATTATTTATTATTTTAGTTTTAATGACACGTTTTAACTATTTTTCCTATTTTAAGAGGAGGATGATATCATGAGGTCAAGTTGGAGACAGTAATTTATTCATTACATTCATTATTTGATCTAGATAGCTTATTGATGAAAGCAACTAAATCTGACACATGTTTAAAACAGTTTTTTTAACATGGTCTCTGGAGATTATTAATGCATAGAAATTCTTCCTGACCTGATATTTGTCACTTCAAGCCCAGCTCTGCTTTCATTCATCTGGGATGCATTTAACAGCGGTTTTGATTGTTGTCCATTTTGAAAAGTGTTTGTTTCCTTCAAATACCAAAAGAGAAAATTGTTTTTGGCTTTAATTAATCAAATGCAGTCCCGCTCTGGATATAATCACGTCTTTGGAAAAACCAGCATCAGCACGTACCAGTTGCAAGAAACCGCATGTGCCAAAACGCTCGTGTGCGGCGTACATAAACGAACTTTTCCTTTTCATTCCACTGCTGTGAAGTTTAATCTTTTCTCACTTTCATTGCCAACCTGATCCTCTCCTCTCTCTACGCCTCATCTTTTCAGTCTCATCTTTATGAGGATGGATTGTTTGCCCTTGGCTCACCACTTGGTAGTCTGTAAGGCAAGCCAGCCAATAAGTGGAATTATAGGGAGTGAGGAGGGACAAAAAGGCTTCCTAAATTTGTTCCTGCATGTATATTTGTGTGCTTTTAAGGTAGAGAGGTTAATAAAGCCTCGGTAAGTACTATAAATAAAAGAAATCAAAGCCTAAAATGCAGGCAGATGCTGTGAGAGCGTGCAGAGAAGCAAGGCAAAGGGAAAACAGAGGGCAATCGTAGAGTGAACACTGTCAGAGCACGCTCAAAGGAGCTTTTATATTGGAGGGAAAAGACATTTAGGCTTCAGTCGAGGTAAATAAAAACTTCAGCTCCACATAAAGTTCCCACATGTCCACTTTGTTGTGTTCGGTGAAGTGGGTCTTCTCGTCTGCCTGAAGAGTAAGTTATAACATTTTACAGAAAGGAACAAGTTTAAACCACATGAGAGAACGAGGAATTTGGACGTCTCCTCCTTTACTCTTTCATCTGTGCCGGATTCATGGTTTGGTTACATCTTGGCCTGTCACGATAAATTTTGCTGGGTGATTAATCGTCTCAGAAATTATTACGATAAACGATAAAATTGTTTGAAATTTGACAATAATTAGTAATTGTAAAATTTAAGAAGAAATGTTGGTTAATTTTTGTGTCTAGTACATTTTTTGACCACTGGAGATCAGTATAACACTGAGCAGAAGGATGGGTAGTGAGGGAGCGAGCAGCGTGTCTTTTTGAGAAAAATGGGAGGGAGGCCTCTTGACGTGACGTGGGCTGTCTCTCCTTTTTTTCAGTTCTCAAAATGGTGGACGCTCGTGTGATTTGAGCTCACTAGCATAGCATTTTTCACACAAAGCTTTTAGATGAAACCGTGAATTTTGGAACTTCGAGAACTTTGAGGTTTTTGCCAGAGGTCGGCCTGTTAGCTGAGCTCGTAGCTTAGCTTCTCAGCTTAGCTGCTTTTAACGATCCAAAAACTCCATTTTAGATGGTTAAAACTGATTTTAAAGAAAAGACAAAAGAGAAAGTGAGGGGGCAGTGAAGAACACCAGAGTTGAGCCTTTTGTCATCCAGTGTCTTCTGTAGAAAGAGAGAGATATGAAGAAACGATGAAGCCGATAAATGAAAATGAGGTCAATAATTTTCATTTATCATGCAATTAATTGATTTATTGTTTATCCTGACAGGCCTAGTTACACTACCGAGCAAAACGCAAAGAAAACGGCAACGACAAGATAAAATGTGGATCGGAAAAGTAAAATGGAACGCTAAAGAGGGGAAAGAAGGTGGAGGAGAGGTAAAGGTTAACAAGTTAAAGCAAAGTGGAAAACACAAGCGCTGCCAGAGAGCAGAGATTATGTTTGAGGGTGTTAATATTAGATTTTGTTGCTTCAGTTAAAGAAAGCAAGTCCCCCCTTCAGTGAGCTGGCAACCAAAGTCACCTTCTGGCAGCTGGCTACTGTCATCAGCGAATACACCCACAACAAGTCCTGAACTACACGGTTAATGACCAGGGAGGTGTGGAGAGGAACGGTGGCCGTGGACATGTACAGTCTGCTGTGATAACAAATTCATACCCGGTTCATCTACATAAATATAAAACCATCTACATCATAATCGCCATCTGTACTCCCCACCTGCTACGGAAACATGGATTACATACATTTTCATTGATCTTAAATTGCTTTAAAATTAACAACACCACCCAGCTTTCCCTACTTTTCTACACGGACCTTTTCACTTGGCTTTAACTCGGGTCCTGTACAAGAGTCCTGAGAGGTTGAGGGTTCTGCACAGAAACCTAGCTGTTCCTGGGACTGCTCCTCTGGATAATCTTGGCAATAAATGCAAACTTCAATCAGCGTTTGGGTTTTTAAAGAATTTAAACCTGCGTTAATTTAGGGTTAGGTTTTAGATCGTCACTTTTTCACGTTTAAGACAAGATGGGCTTCAGCTTATTCTCTACAGGTTTTTTCTTTCTTGTTTTGTATTAGTAATATATCGTTTTGTGCTTTAAATTTAATTTCACAGTAGGTGATGTGTAACGTGAGCGCCTTACCTGAAAATCTCGCTCTTCTAGAATCTCTTTTCTCCATCTCACCAAAAAAGCTGCACAGACGTAGAGATGGAAATGAGAAAAACCTTCTGGTTCAGCCTGGTGAGAGAAAGAGAGAGAGGCGGAAAAAAAGGTTTAACGTTTCCAAAACTTAATCTGTATTAATTACATCTATGTTTAATTATTCTACAGTTTAATTAGAAACTAGATATTACATTATGCTAAAAGAAATGTGTCTTTCACTTTGGAAGGAGGTGTAGGGGCTGCAGAAATGCTAAATATTTCATCAAAACACAAAAAAAACATGTTTGCACTTAATTTAAAAAAACTAATATAAATTATACTGACTTAGTCTAACTTTATTTATTTTACTAATTTAAAACGTATTACCAACATCAATTTTTTATTTGCTAGCTAGCATGCTACCAGAGGAAAACATTTTAAAACACTTACTATCAACCAAAATACTGTATAACAAAACCTCCAATGTGTATATATATATATATATATATATATATATATATATATATATATATATATATATATATATATATATTAAAGTTGCATTCAGTATCGATGGATGACAAGCTCAGTGGTATTTATAAAAGGCAACACTCCAACAGAATGAAAGTTATCATCACTGTTCGCTTTGAGTGAGTTCCCATACAACTGAACTATGGTAAAAGTTTAATGCTAAAAGTAAAAATATTAAAAAACAAGCAATAGTTTAGCTCGTCTAAAGCAGGTTCTGTAGAAAGAGCATCAATTATAATCTTGTTAAAGATAGCTCTTTGAATAATCCCAGTTTTGAAAAACACTTTATTGTGAAAAGATTAATGAGCTAACATCCCGAGTGTGGCAAAGGGTGGATTGGTGGCATTTTAAAGCAACTCAATGTAAAGTTCTTATAAAAAGAAACATTCAACAATAAATAAATAAATAAGGGCCTAGAAATGCATAATACAGCCCAGTATGTACTCGTTAAGTGCCACCTCTTGCATACACTGCCTGCCCCCCCCCAAAAAAGTTGCCACCTGGATTTAAAGAAGCAAATAGTACGAGCCTCCTATTGGATAATTCCTGCCTGGGTGATTATCTTTCAGCTGGCAACAAGTTATTTAACCACAACTGGTGCAATGAGTTGCTTCTCATTTCTTAAACAACCATGTTGAAAGACAAAAAGATGTCGGTCTGTTTGAGAAGGGTCAAATCATTGGCATCAAGCAGAGAAAACATCTAAGGAGATTGTAGAAACTACTAAAATTGGGTTAAGAACTGTCCAACGCATTATTAAAAACTGGAAGTATAGTGGGGACCCATCGTCTTTGAGGAAGAAATGCGGCCAGAAAGATATCCTGAATGATCTTGATAGACGATCACTTAAACGTTTGGTGAAATCAAATCAAAGAAAAACAACAGTAACACTCAGGGCTGTGTTTAATAGTGAAAGTAAGAGCATTTCCACACGCACAATGTGAAGAGAACTCAAGGGACTGGGACTAAACAGCTGCGTAGCCTTAAGAAAACCACTAATCAGTTAGGCTAACCAGAAAAAAAAGGTTTCAGTTTGCATAGGAGCATAAAGATTGGACTCTGGAGCAATGGAAGAAGGTCATGTGGCCTGATGAGTCCAGATTTACCCTGTTCCAAAGTGATGGGTGCATCAGGATAAGAAGAGAGGCAGGTGAAGTGATGCACCCATCATGCCTAGTGCACAACACTGGATGCAAATAGATCTTGTGACATTGCAGAAGCTTATCGAAACAATGCCACAGCGAATGCATGTCGTAATCAAAGCTAAAGACGGTCCAACGAAATATTAGTGTGATCTTTTTTTTTTTTTTTTGGTGGCGACTTTTTTCTTGGCCAGGCAGTGTAACTAGTACATTTGTACAAAGTACCGAGTACAGAACCAGCAAGTACCCAGTCTGCAGTGTTTCCCCTACCGTTATACAAGGAGGGCACCACACCCCGTCCAAAGAACTGAGCGCCCCGCTTACCGAACTGTCCTTCACCACTCCCCTTACTGCCGGAACTGACGTAGCGCTAAGCTAGCAGTGCTAAGCTAGCAGCGCTAAGCTAGCAGCGCAGTCGCGCATAATACAAAAAAAAATCTACTGACTTAAATCGTCGAAGAGATGAGCACGCTACCAAGGCCAGTGACCTAGTGGAAACAGTCTGTATATGTCTGGTTCATACCAAAAGTATTAGTTATTAGTTTCCTACTGGGTACTATTTTTTACGTACCCAGTAAATGCTCTAAAACTTGGTACATTCTCAGTACCTACCATTTACTCAGTGAATATTTGTCTGTATGGGAGCATACAATGTTGACAGTCTCAAACTGCCCTTCCCTATAGTCATGATCCCCATCAGGCTAACCATTAACTCATCAATCCCTAATTAGACTACTGGTATATCTCTGAGGTTATTTAAAGAGCTACTTACAACAGTATAAATACTAATTCTTCATTAATTTTCTACAGAAATCCACATCAGTAGTTCTGAACTTTTACCTAAAGATGAACAGCAAACTAATACAGCAAAGCATATGAGATACTGTTCTAGTTTGTGATAAGACCTGTGTACATTAACAACTCAGCAGCTTCTGTCCAATTACTCCAATGCAAAGGGGAGGGTAACTGAACAGAAACCGCTGTGAACAATTGAAAACAGCACAACTGTAGCCTGGACGCTTCAAACTTCTGGGGTAAATATGGCAGCAACATAACAGGTACCGTAATTAATTTGAAATTACAGCTACAGTGGCAGAAACAAAGCATTTGGAAGGAAAGAAATACGAGATATTTGACGTTATGATCAATCAGAGTGCAAGTCTGAGCTAAAACAGTATGTTGCTTTTGTTATCAGGAAGATTTAGAGCCATTTTCTGCATTTCAGTGTCGCCCAAATAAGCTTTTTTTTTTTAATTATTTTTATCACATTTCAAGCTCATGCTCACACAATGTATTTAATGATAAATGCATAAAAAGGAGAAAAGTGAGAAAAATGGAACACACTTTATTTCTCTACAACCCAGAAACGTACATTTCCAGGGCGATGCAGACAAAGAAAGATCCAAATCCCCTTTTCCTTTGCACCGCCTTTCATTTCAGGCCCTTGTTTCATTTTTTGCCCCCCTCACGTTTTTTTTTTTTTTTTTTTCCCCGACTCTGAAATGAGCAGGGGGAATTAAAGTGGAAGAAAGACAAAGGATGAGATGTTCCCCGTTCTATTCATTTCACTCCAGAGCCTCATCAGAAGGAGAATAATTACAGCCCTGTTGAATGCTAGTCACTTAGAAGCGAATGCCCATTTAACGGCAGGATAAATCTCAGTACGGGAGTGTGTCTGAAGGCAACCTGACACACTTGAAGGACTTTTAGTTACATGCATACATTTTCATTTCAAGTTCTAATGTGGTCATTAAAAATTCTGCGCTCTGATTGGCTGGACCGGAATATCCTGACACGTACAATCAGGTTATAAAACTGGCATTAAACTGCAGGTATAAACAAAAGCCCCCGTGAAGGAGCGTCGAGTTTTTGTTGTGTGTGTGTGTTTACAATGAAATACAAGTTAATAAAAAAAGTAAATAAGAAAAACAGAGAGATGTGAAGAGGTCACATGTAAGAGTGACTGAGTGAGATGGAGTTGGGGAAAACAAGGAGTGAGATGATGTAACCTTATCTCTTCTGGACAGACAGTTTTAATAACGCCGAGCAGCGAGAGACGCCGCTTTCTTCTGTTCTTCAGATTGACAGCAATCTGTGAAATTTCTCTTTGCGTGTTTTATAACTTGTCAGGGTCCTTTTTTTTTTATTTATTTTTCTCTCGTTCCACTGCTGCCATTCAAACCTTTTAATGTAGATGCTGCCTTGCAATGCCAACAAGAGACGCTGAGATTTGGAAATTTAATATTAGGATGGCTACGAATAAGAGCAAGATTAAAATTAAATGCTGCAAAAATTGTATATTCATTCAACCTTTATTTATATAGGTTAGTCTCATTGAGTCACGAGGACTCGTTTACAAGAGACCTGTTTTAAACAAAGAACTCAGGTGAGGTACTGACAACAGTGGACAATCATATAAAGCATATAAAACGAAAAGTAAATAAAATAAATTATGTAAAAACAAAACAAAAGATATATTATAAAGTGATGCAAAATACTAAAAACAGGAACGTCTGCAATGGTTTTTGCCATGAACTTAACAGTTTTTTTTTTTAAATTGGGGTCAAAGTCGACAACTTCAGATCTTTTTGCAAGTTATTCCAGGAAACAGGAGCAGAGTAAGAGCAGGCCCTTTTGCCAAGTTCGGTGCAAATTGAGGGGACACTGCAGGTAATTATGTCTTGAGCGTGCGCGCTGTAGCTGCACTGACTAAGTGACATGTAGGAGGAGATGTATGAAGGCAACAGACCAAAAAGTGATTTAAAAATGAAGATGTACCAGTGTGAGAGTCTGCGTGAAGTTAATGATGAGCAATTAACCAGTGAATACAGGGTGCAGCGATGGCTACAATAGTTACAACCAGTTATGAATCTTAGCGCACCGTCATAGACAGCATCCAACATCTGCAAGGTGTTTGCAGGAGCATTCATGTAAATAATGTCAACAATGGAGTCAACGGAGGGAAGGAAAGTCGCAGTTACAAGGTGTTTCTTAGCATTCAGAGTTAGGCAGGCTCTATTTCTGAAAAAGAAACCAAATTTAACATTCAGTTTCTTCACCAAGTTTTCGACATGAGAGAGATGCAAGTCTACCAAGATACCCAAGTATTTGTAAGAATCCATAAACTCAATAGGAACACCTTTCATAGATAAAACAGAAAGAAGTACTGCTGGTACTGACTTCCTGTTTGAAAACAACATCCCTTTGGTTTTATCAGCATTTAACACCAGTTTGAGACGGAACAAATCTGACTGGATGATGTTGAATGCAGATTGCAAGAGCTGAAACACCTTAACAACTGTTCTAGCTCGACAATAAATAACTGTCAGCATAGAAATCAGAGTCAGAGTCAGAGTCAAAGTTTCTTTATTGTCATTCGCACCTCATGTGGTACATGTGGTGGAGCGAAATTATGTACACGGG